AATAGAGATAATCCTATAGTATAGAACCTCTATACTACTATCCCCTCCTACCCTACTATCCGCTCCCGTTACCTTCCTTTTTTCCTCCTAGATTAACAAATCACATGTAAACTAGTAGTAAAACTCTTAAATAGTCGTAGCCTGCATATCGCTTAGGGCGATAGGTTAGGGTAAATAAATACAACTTAACTTAACTCAACTTAAATCAAATAGTATAGATACGAATATACAACTATATCTTAGGCACTACTATACGCTCCAAATACTCTTTTAAAAAGGATAGTTCTTATAGTATAAAGTAAAATATGCGAGCTTCTCTATCGGAAGAGGGTAAATTTAAATACACGTACGAAAAAACCATTCCTTTCCGGCGAATATAGGTAGCATTAAAATTCTAGCATGCGATATTATAGACTTCCTTTTAACATATACGCTTAAGATAAGGCCTACTATATAAGTCCTAACTCTTTATACTACGTCCGACTCGTGTAGTAACGTAACCCGCCTAAAGTTCCTCCTTACACGTAAGCAAAAAACAATATGAAAGCGTGTATGCTTAGTTATTTTCTAAAAGAGCGGTTTTGTATCACCGTTATATACTACATGTGCTACTGTTCCACAGCAGACGGGTGCAAAAGTATGCTTAGTCATCCCCTGAAAGAGCACTTCTGTGTTACCGTTATATGTTATACATGATCTTGGTCCACAGTGAGATGGATTCAAAGGCCTGGTAAAATGCTGGTGTGGTGGTTTTATAGTGATGTAAATATGTCTCGCAATAGACAGGTAGAACGCCTCGCTCAAAGTATCTTTCCATTGCATCTGCAGTTTCTACAGCGACAATGGATTTTCGCAAGCTTCACCTCGCTCAACAAAGTTACCCCATTCTGCTTACGCGCACCAATTGGTTGCAGCGCCACGTTTAATCGATCTACTACTACTGCTGACTTCAGCCCAGCAGGACCCGCGTTAGCGCATGCAGTCAGCAACGCCAACACGATCTATCACCCTATCACGCCCACCTAATCCGCCCCTTCGTATAACTTAAGGTGTAGTTTAGCATCAAAATAAGGCTTCCGCAGCCTAGCGGCGGACACGATCGAAGACCACGAAAGCGGAAAAAGCGGTGGTAGCAAGCCCTACCAAGTCGCGGTAGATGATTTGTGTGCAGCTAACTGTGTCGACGCAGACATACGAGTAAACAATATATTGATTTTGCATGGTGAAACGGAGTGTCACTGTCAGAAGCGACACAATGACTTTTTAACCTCGCGGGTCAATGTCACAGATACGTACATACGTAAATCAAACTCATCGGATCAATTGCCAAGGCGAAATAATTACAAGTTTGCACATACAAAGTTAACAATCCTCAGCATTGCTACCACCGTGGCCGAGTTTTCAAGACCCGGATACATACTGCCGGTTAATGTCTATTAGCAAATCGACACTGATTTCTGAAATGCAGCCCTTACAAGCTGGATTGTCTTCAATGAAGATAATATAATGGGTTGATTTACTCATGTTGCATGTATCGGCCGTTGTAAGTCGCAGGCATCTCAGTGTTAATGCGCAATGGTTGAACCCTTGAACGCGATAACAACTTCGCATTCCTCAAAAACACATAGATAATGGGCGGACTTGACCGCACAAAAACAAGGGCATAGTTTGGTAAGACTATAGTATAGGACGAAAGCAATAAGTGGCACATTACTCACAGTATGGACGTCCATGTGTAGAGCGCTTTGGGCGGCATTATGATTGCAAAGGACACAGATAAGCCCCGAAGCCACGGCATAAACATTAGGAACATATCAGAAGTACGTATTTTGGAAGATACATCAACCAGGGAAATTCAAAGACAGTGAAAGAAGCTGGAAGATCTGTTCGCACGAAGAAATTTTCTTTGTTTTGAAGCATATTTACCGCATCTTCGAGAACAAGCAAGACTCAAAAGTAAAAAGACAGCATGGAAGCAGACGGAACCAAGGCCATCATCTCAGGCAAAGCATCTCAAGTCTAAGCCGGCTTTCCATCCTTAATCAACTGCGATAACTCCTCGTCCTTGGTAGTCCACTCCGCAATATCATCATACTTCTCCTCCAACAAATCGCTGACCAGCCTTCCAAAGACGACACTTCCATGCTCATTAAGATGAGTATTATCAGTCGACTTCAAGTTATACTTAGCCGCCTCAACCGCTCCAATCGCATTCACATACTTGATGGACGCCGCATTGAGATCAATGTAGCGGGCCTCTGTAGCTTCAGCAGCCTTGATAGTAGCAGCGGCCTGCTCCGCCAGGTCAGTCTTCACTTCGTCGCCCTTGAAACTCCGGCGCGTAATCGGCGTCACCAGGATCTGTATGCGTTAATTTGGTGCGCATGCACAAGAAAGAGTCGTTGCTCACTGGAGTTCCGCCTGCAGCCGTAACTTCTTTGGCAAATTTCTCGAGGTTCTCAGTATACTGAGCAACACTGATACCCTTGCTCGCCTTCTGGTCATTGTGGCCAAACTGTAGTACCAAATCAGCTTCTGGTACTAATGCAAACCGCAAAGCACAGCGGTCGCACGTACCTGAATGGTAACAAAGACGTTGTTTGAGTCTTTGTGCTCTTTTACATCAGCCAGTACCTTGTCCCAGTCTCCGCCCTCGCGGAAAGACACAGTAGTGGCGCCATTGTGGCCATAATTGGTACCAAAGGCGGGGCTCTTGAGTGTCTTGTTGCGGAATCCATCTCCCCATCCTCCACCATTAGATGATTGCTTGGCGGTTGTAGAGTCTCCGGCAAGGAAGAAGGCCACAGGTTTTATCGCGCGGGTGGTTGGGGCTGCCAAAGCCACGAACGGGGCAATGCCCGCAAGAAGAATATTGGAGAGATGCATCTTTCTTAGAAATGATCCACGGAGAAAATGAGTCGGTTCTGGAGTAATTAGGGGAAGGGAATGTTTAAATAAAACCCTCTCCGGTGAGGCCCTCCGCTCGTTAGATTGCGTGCTGCGAAGAAGGGAAAACGTGTTATGCAGGCGTTAACCGAGCTTACTGATTTGCGGGGGATTCGCGGTTTCAGATGGTTTAGCGATAATAAGAAGCTTAGCATTGTCGGAGATTCTTCCAAAGATGGTTAGAGGCGGCTCAGACGGTAAGCAATCCCGCTAAGTAGCCTAATTTAGATAGACGGTCCTTGTTTTTGATAGTAGGAAAATGAAACGAGCTTCCGGATAATCTGTTTTGCTTCCGGACATCTGTGTGGAGTTTTCCCGGCTTCGCGCTGCCGCAACGGTTAAATGAAATACGAAATCCGTTGTTCTAAACCATTTACAAGCAAATCCGGTAAATTAATTAGGCTCGTTTATCCTTGCTATCCGGCTTGCTGGGCAGCATTGGCAGAAGATACCAAAGGCTGATTTTGCGAAAGACAACGTGGCGAAGCCTGTACGTTCTCTTGGTAGAAGCATTTTAGTAAAGAAAGCTTGAGGCTAATTGTAATTTATGCTGCTCTAAACCTTAGATGCTCTGTAAAAACCTCAAACCTATTATTCGAGAGCAGAAAATAAAATTTTAGCGGATTTAAAAAACCTTCCACTACCAGCTATTCACAACGACAGCTACAATTAAAACTTAACTCGCCCACAGCTTTCCAACAAGGACCGCTAAGTCCTTAGGTTGTTAACAATATAACTTTTCACTCACTTCGGTGAAGCCGATAATAATAAGGTACCTCTCGGATTCTCACTAATCACAATTATATACCTATGTACGAGCTAAATCATGCTTACTTTCTCCGACCACCAGCAACAAATAATTCCTAAAAGAAACTACAAACATTATTTCTTTGTCTCTCGCCTCATGCACAACGTATAATAGTACAAGCAAATAAATTTTACAGCCGTGAAGCTCCCAGAATCATCTACTCACACCGTCCAAAGCCTGATTGACTAGAAAAAGGTTAGAAACATTCTTGAGAAAGTAGTAACTACAACTTACCAACCGGTTCCGCAGTATTCGGATGTGGAACCGCACCAGCCATCATCGGAACAGCAATCTCCATTGAAATTACCAAGAATACCAGTGCAGGTGAATCCGCCATTTGTAGCGCCGCAAGATCCATCCACGCTGGGAACGTTTACTGTCAAACATCCCGAGGAGAACTCTTTTTGACTGTTGAAGATGTTAGTACCGCATGGAAGACGCGTTCTGGTGAACTTACCATCCCTGGCCGCACCAATTTGCAGTATCCCCACAATGCCCCAAAGCACTGCAGCACGCTCCAAAAGCCGAACCCGCACAAGTAAGCCCTTGATCTCCACCACAGGTACCGTCCATTGTCACATCAGCGGCAGCGCAATCTCCAAACTCCGGTTGACAACCAGTCCCGCAGTGGATCCCCGAGGAGCCGCAGAAACCATCAACGCTGCAGCAAGCCTTATTTCCAGGGGAGTATAGGCCTGTGCATGTGTACCCTTTGTCGCCGCCGCATGTTCCGTCCGGTGTAAGTGTTGTGGTTGTACATTCTCCGAATTTTGACTGGCATCCAAAGCTGCTGTAACAGTAGGCTTTTTCATCACCACACCAGCCCAACGAGCTGCAACATTCGCCATATCCAGAGCCCTTGCATGTGAGTCCAGTGGTACCGCCGCATTGGCCATTGGGCGACATGCCAGCAGATGTGGGGGTAGACATGGGTGTAGTTGCAGCTGTTCGTGTTACTACACTTGACGCAGCGGTGGAGAGGCTGCTTTCGGCTCTCGGGAGCCAGTCATCTAGAGAAAACAGGGTCAGCGATCGGTCTTGAAACAGAAGTTCTGTGCTTACGTCCGTTGCCGGCAGGGCTGCATTCCGCAACGCCGCAGAAAAGGGCAAGTAGAATCGCGGTAACAACTTTATTAGGCATCTGCATATTGTACTCCGGGAAATTCTGATCTCTAGAAAACCTTTCATAATGCCAGTGGGTTTATAAAGACGGGAAAGCCAGTTCCTCTCGCTCACGCCATATAATCCATGAGCACTTTGTTGCTTTTCCTACGGTATAAACTAAAAAACCTAAGAGCTCTCTTCGTGAGCATGTTACATGTGGAGATTGTAGTATGCTCGTATTCTCGGCTGTGGCTTAGTATTGCCCTGTTTGCAACGGCTTTGATTCCCATTTGAGCATTTCCCACTGTAACTAATCCAAAGCCATGCAAGACACATGCAGGAATCGTGCGATTATCGGCCCCCACGGATAACACAGACCTGAGAATTCCCCACACTATCGGCTTTTGGTGCCTCGGCTCAATGTGTTGGCCTTTGCTGGGTAATTAGCCGCCGGCTAAATAGGTGAGAGCCTCATCCACATGAAGACTTAAGCCGGATAAATCATTATGAAGCCCAATCCCCTGCTGCACATCAATAAGCACTAGCTAAAACTAGCAACTTTCTTAGGGTTCAAAACATATGTTTCCGAGAAACTTGGCGTTCAAAGTCTGCTCGTGGTTCATGCCTTCATGTGCGTCTTTGCAATAGCAATCAATAGAGCTCCGGGTACTGCGAAAGGGCTTGCTGACTTCTGCCGAAGCGCATTAGTCGACGATACCCATTAAATAAACCATAGAGCCCTGAATCCCGAAGCAACATATACTTTCTGCTCGCGGCAAAGCCTTATACCTTCCATAACATCCTATGTCGGAAGTATGAAAAGGGAAAATATTATTTACACTATGTGTTTAGCGGAGGTCTTCGTCACTACTAGTTCCTGCACCTGCTTTACATAATAGCGTCCGCAGAAACGTACATTGTTTGGCATTAGGGAATTATATTTCATTTATCCTGCAAATAAAGCACAAAGCGAGGTAAAAAGAGAAATAAAATGCGATGTAATAGGCGTTCTAAAGAAATATATAGCATATTTCGCGTATCATCATGTAACTCCTAAACACCGAGTGGTTGACTGGAAAGGACTCGATGTCACAAAAGCCCCAAGCCTCATCTAAACTCTATAGTGCAATAGAACATCGCCGACCGGGAGAGTATTAAGCGAATAGTTAAAGGGCAACTGAAACAGAAATGAAATTCGTAAAGAGAAGGGGGACAAGGAAATACTGATGCGAACGTTAAAAACCAACTTAAGGAAAATTTTCCCCAGACACCAGGTGCAAGATCTGTCCCTCTAAACCAACGCGTATCTTTTGCAAGGTACGAGCAAATTCCATCATACTTTCTTTTGCGAACCTCCCATACCGTCCTTTCTGCGGTATCTCTATTTTTTCCAGGCCTGACCATGGCTGCATTTCATCTGGTTGAAAAGGACCATCTTGGTGCAGCCACTCAATCTTCCCTTGCTCAATGTAGCGTCTCACTAATAGCCAGTTACGAATCTCGGGAGGTGTTTTACGCTGTCGAGGGCGCTTTTTAACTTCCCTTGACTGGCGTAGACCTCCTGGGCGCCTCGGCAGATGAGGAACTTAACAACAGACAAACTGCCTGCGCAACAGGCTGCCATCAGTGATGTTCCTTCAATGCAACCTTCTGTCTCCAAACCCGCACCATATCTGATCAGAACCTCCATGATTTTAATAGTACCAGAGATGACTGACATGCAAATTAGGTTGGATGATGCACCGGGAAGGTACCTGTCAATGTCTTTTCTAAGTGGATGCTCGGCTGTCAGTCGCTTAAGATGTATTATAAGTAACGTTTCTCTCTCCCCAATGACCATGCTCTGGAGTCTAATCGTTTCCATTGACTCCTGCACCGACGTAGTTCTTAAAGACGTATCCATGTTTGCCGCTGATCTGCCTTCTTTGGTATGCCATGCTGGAAGCCGATGAAATATTTGGTTTTCCTCACATCCTCGATCCAATAACAATAGGGTAATATAGGGACCCCAGGCTTCCGCGGGAAGATGCATCAATATAAACTCGTCCACGTTAAAACAAGAAGTATTTAAACCATGTTTTTCAAGTTCGGTTAGCGTTTCGTCCTGGTTGTACTTGACGGCCATTATTGCTGGGGTCCAATTGAAGTTGTCTTTAGCGTGAACATTAGCGCCGTGTCTCCAAGAGGACCTTAACCACTAAAATGAACCCATATCCAGCAGCGTGATGGAGAGGAGTTTCTAATCTATCGTTCTTAGAGTTGACATTAGCTCCGTATTGCAGGAGCTTTTATACGATCTCTGGGTTCCCTTTGCAAGCGGCTGTGTGAAGAGAAGTGGTTTTATAGTTGTATTTATTCTGAAGGTAAGTCCGGCCAAGAAAGCTATTCGTGGTTTATAAAAGCGTTAAGGTATAAATGTTAATACGTCGCATGTCGACGTCGAAGACGCTCCTTGCCAGAGGGATAGAGTAAAGATGTTGAGGTTGAAGTAGTCTTTAGGTCTCCGACATTTCCAAATTCAGCCGCTATACGAAAATAATACTATAAGAGGACCTTAAGCCCCTCTGTGTTATCTACATCCACGGCAATATGGATAGGATGTATAGAGTCTCCGATGCGAAAGTTTCCAGGCTCCTCACCGGAAAGTATTATTTTCAGGACTCTTATTGATCCGGGCCTTATAGTAGCAAGTTATAAAGTAGTCAGGCCGCTATAGTTGCTTCTGAGATAGGTTTCTCCGGCGGTAGACATTCCGTAGCTAATCAGGAGTTTAGCCAGCTCTGTTTAGTTGTTGTCCAGAGCGAGCAAAACAGGTGTACATCCGTAACACCCATGAAGCCCATGGTCGGCATTTAGCCCGCTTGCGACGATCCTCTCAATGATAGCTGCATTGCCTTCAAGTATTGCGATGCAAAGTATGTTTGAAAGCTTATTCGAAACTCCGCAGCTATTGGTTCGTTCATCGCCTGCTTTATATCAGCCAAAAAAAAGCCAAGTGTCTATATATACGCTCTTACCTTCTTTGCATGGGGTCCTATTCTGGACAATTTTGGCCGTGTCAGTGTGGCCGTTTATCAGCGCGAAGAGGTTGGGGGTAATGCCGTCATCGTCACTCGGAAGTTCGGTTTTAAGGTCTAAAAGCAAGACGACGACTTCGTTTGCGCCTTCTCCTGCAGCTAAATGAATGAACGGGGAGCCGTCCTTTTACAGTTCGCTTGTTCATATTAATATTAATAGAAGAAAGTATGCGCACAATATCTTCATTCTCCTTCCATGCTGCTATATGGAGTGGGCTCTCGCCAACGTCATTTATTGGGTCAGCGTCAGTACCTAGCCTCAATAATAAATTGACAGCTTCAGAATTGCTAAGTTTGACTAACAACGTTGGTGATAACTGCGAAGTAACTCAAAGCTTTTAAGATTTTGTTAGGCCAGTTAGGATGCAATCGAACCAAGAATATTAACCGGAACCTATATTTCATCGTTTTTATAGTCGCAGTAGTAGTAGGCCACGGCTTCTTAGTACTCTCCACTTCGACTTGTAGTCTCATATGTTAACATTGAGGCCAAGTCGGTCTTCCCAGCACCAGGGATCCCCGAGAGCCAGAGATTTCCGGTCTTGTCATTTAACCACGTCTGAAATTCATCCTTTTAAGTAACCAAAGTCCTAGACCGGGGTGTCGCAATGCCTTGCTTATTCTATATCTCCCGATGGATTCATGTTTTCCGAAGAATTAGAAGATTCTTTCCTAGTCTTATCGCTCTCGTTCCGAGAAGAACGTTTTAAAAAACGCCTTAAACGCCTTAAAAGGCCTCCAGTCTTCTAGGCGCTTCCTGATATTCCTAACGTCTTTTTATAAGCTATCTTGCATAGAAAATGCCTTTTCAATAGTAGGTAGTGTATCTAAAGCCAGTACTACAGTAATAGTAGATTTGTAGCGCTCAATTTCGTCCAAAATGATCCGTGTTCCTAATGCGGAAAATGGCCACTTCAGTTTTCGCAAAGCTATATAGTCGTCCTCTTTAGGGGCTTTCCTTTCCAGCTTGGTTTGTATTTTCATTAATATCCGCTTACAAGATTCGATAAGGTAAGTACAGAAGGGTGTTTACGGCTATTCTTCGTCGCTTTTAGCCTCGAGACGAGTTGTCAAAGCTTTAGTTCGTAAAGAACTAATGTAAATAATTTGAGGCTATTACATAGGTTAGATACTTCTTCGGTTGCTTCTTTCACTACTTTAATATATCGCACTGCTTTGAAGGAAATCAAGTCGGCTAGCGATACAAGGCCGGCGACACTGGCCGCTACGGAGAAGGGATCTGCCATGGCGTTTCATACGCCAACGCGTGCTCGAACCAAAAGGTATCAAAATTAAAAGACGAATTTACCAAATAAAAATATAACAGACAAGACTCTAATAATGAGAAATATGAGACATCTATCGAGTGTGGACGTGATATATATGCTCTTGGTTGTCAGCCTTGCGGTTAGCCCTAGGCTAACACCTATTAATACTTGTGCATAACGTAGGTATCCTCGTGTGGCTATGTACATCATGCAGCATTTTATATTTTGGTCGGTATAAAAGGAAAAGTGGCGTCCAATAATTTTAAAGGACGAATATATATACAAGGCGCAGTGAGCACGTGCCACGCCCGCCAAGCAAGCAAGGCGCATTCAACACCGCATCTTGGTCTCCAAACTTAGCACGAACATATTTATTTCCAATCAAAAGGTCGCACAGCAGACTCCGCCCACCTTTCAATATAATTTTGTAGCGGAGGTTGAGTACGGTGTTGTTTGTAGAAGCTAAATAAAAACCCATAAATGCTGCGAGCCTGCGAACGCAATCCTATAACCTCTATTAGCCAGGATCACTCCGATAACTCTTATTTTTTCAGCCTTGTTACAGTTAGTTATTATACTATAGCCTTACCCCTTATACTATACGTTTATCTACTATAAGAGAGTAAGAATCTTAAAGAGAAAATATATTCTTTTAGATAGTAGTATATATACCTCTATAGGTAGTAGTAATTTAGGAGGATAAGCGGCGTCTAATTCCTCGCGCCCAGCTTCACAACCTCTTATAGCGTGATAGCTTTAGATATCGCAAAGGCAAGCACGAGTATCCTCGTCAAAGCCGTAAACGTCGCCAGTGTTTTTACACTAGATAACAACTCAGTTCCTTCGAAACACCACCTCACAACAGGTCGACTTACAGAGTATTCAGCGGGCTCTCCCGTGTGGTCGCCGCAGTAACATAAGTCCACAGGCAAGTCTTCGTCGCCTGTGTCAAACGTGCAGCTCTAGGAGTCCGTATCGCATTCCTATAAGAACTACAGTTTAGCAGGGCGGGTCTACACGTCTCGCGGAATTTAGTGGCCTTACGCCCCAGAACATGTCCCGCCGACTGGGCTTGTGCTCGTTAGGTACTGCGAATACTTAGAAGGAAGAGAGGGCTGCGCCGATAGTGAAAAGAGTAATAAACATCTGTCAACCATCACCACCATAACTGTATTATCTCGCTTAGCACGAACCCTGTCATCACTTTGCTTTTTCAACATCATGCCATTCTCTCCTATTAGTGGAACGATAGTCACCTTTCTACCC